TAAAACACGCTTCATCCTTGAGATAGTGGATATTCGATAGATCTTATGCGGTAGAAAAAGAAAGTATTCTCTTCTCTTTTCATTTTCTGATCTTCGTTTTTGTTGAATTATGAGTGAAGAGTCGACGAGAACTTGAATGTTCAAGCAGCGAACCGATAACTTCCGTGCGAATAACCGTGAAAATCACAAAAAAACCAATCCGAAACTCGAGCTAGAACGGCTATATCACGGGTGGAATATTCTCGTTTAAAATAAACACGATAGGTTTCATTTCAAAAGAAATCTCTTATAGATTTTACGCCAGTGATTCACTTTTTAATGAATTATTTAGATTTAAACAAAGAAAAAGAGGCGAGAAGACCAAACGATAAGAGATTTTTAAAGTCTCATTTGAATCAAAAGGAACAACTATAGTTTTCTATAGTAAATGATTCCGCAATTAAAATTTTTGCACATGCAATTACCCATGGTGAAAGTTCAACAAAAGAAGAGGTGTTTGAGAGACTACATTTCTTTTATCATCAATCATATGAAATTGATAATTGAATATAAGAATCTCTAAATATTGTTTGACTCAAATGGTTATTCATATTTGTATATTAGCGTGAATTTAATCTTTATCTACTAATTCAATCACAAGCATTTGAATTCAAACATTATTGCATGAATCTCCCATAGAACTAATATCCATATCTGCCTTTATGTCTTACATTCTACTTGCTATTCACGAGAAAATATTCGTGCCAACAAAGTACAAGCAAATCATAAAATAACTAAAGTTGATATTCAATAAGCGCAAAACATTTGTTTTGTTTATTTTTTGTTTTAGATATTTCCATAGAATTATGATTTTAATATTATATTAAGAAACGAAAAATTATTGACTGATATACATTCAACTGAACAGTTACAATATTTTCACAGTATAAAATAATTTTTTCCCAACAATAATATATTCAGATGATTTTTTTTCAAAATAAATACATAAATAAATATTACAGAAGATTTCTGATAAAAATAAAATAAATTCTCAATTAAAAAATTGATTATTCATTAGACAATAAGTTTCTATGTTTAAAAAGAAATCATAGAACGAAAGAAACTCTATCAAGCAGTACTTGTCTTTGTATTCTTGGATTTTAAGTTGAAAAAATTATATAACTGAAGTTCCGCTTGAATATTTTATGACGCATTTGAATCATCGTATACATTAATCATATATAAGTTCAAATTAGTTTTCAAATATGTATGAACGAAAAACTGAAACCATTTTGAAAGGATAATTTAATTTCTTCTATTGAATATTTACTACTATTATATTTATTTGATCAAAATAAAATTTACTTTTTATAATTACATATGTGTATCATTACTAGAATATCCAATAGAAGATTGTTCTAATAGAGTGGCCAAATCATTAAAGAAAAATCTATCTTCGTTTTATACATATGTTCATTTTTTATCATTTCAAATTCTTTCATCATTTATTTTTGATGCAAAAATTGAGAGTTATATAATATTTTATTGCGTTGAATACCGTTGAAAATGATCCATTTACAAGAAATACATATTGATTTTGTACTATTAAGTAACAATTCATCTTGCTTTCATTCGTCAATATAAGATTTTATTATTATATTTTGTTAGAATTATAAGCTTGAAAATGATGATGGAAAAATAAGAAATCAATTTATAAACAATAGATCGTATAAAATATCATATAAATTTATTTTAAATTTGATGTGAATGAGAAAGAAAAGGTTTTTTAAAATAATTCTTAACTTTTTCTCATGAATATTACGACTGCTTATTATCGGGAAATATATTTATCAATGAAAATATTAAAATTCATCTCTAATATCAGTTCACTTGTACGCGTGTGGTTTCCATAAATAATATCTTCAAATAAGTAAACAAGTTCATAAACTGTTTTTATCATGCAGTAATAGTGAACATGAGACTACTTCTCATTATCTTAATGTTCTGCATAGTAACATTCAGAGCATCAACCAGGCCGTGTTTTTGTAGGCCTGGCCGGTCCGTGACAGGCCTTTGCATTTCAAGCCTGCCTGTGCCTGTCAACTAATTTGGTCGGCCTGGCCTGCCTGACAAGGCCTGTCAATTTTTTTTAATGCTAATATCATTACGAGGATAGAATAGAAACATGTAATTAATGTTGAGAATGAAGAAAACCAGTTTAATTAATTTAATATGACTAGATGAAGCATTTACTTATCGAAGTTTTCATACAAAAAAGAATACATCAGAGACAGCATCGCATAACATTAAGAAAAAAGTAAAGGTTTTAACAATCGATAAGAAAGATCTTGATGATAATCGATAATACAATTTTTAGCAATAATCAATAAGAAAGATCTAAATAATAATAATAAAGAACGAATTTTTGACCACAATCAATGAACGAATTCCCTAGTCAACTCTCCCTAAATGAATCGCCAGGGAGTCCCTAGGGATTTCGTTCTTTTGCGGGGACTCCCCGGGGAGTTATCTGGTCAAAATGGATGAAATTTCTAATTACTAATAAATTCTTCTTAATTTTTTTAAATTTAAAAAACTTAAAAATTTTT